AAGGAAAGTAAAAGTCCATCCTTACCCACTAAGTCTCACGCCTGATAATAACTGCCTTAAGCTGTTTTTTCTTTTTCTTTTCTTTTTGAATTTTTAGGTTAATTCCTAAACGTAAAATACCACATCTTTTTCTATATTTTAATTTTTCTTTCAATTCTAAACAGTGTCTGTTGCTTGACTTTCCAGTAAATATGAAATTTAGGTCATTATGTTTTCCACTTTGTTTCTAATTCTGCTGTTTCTTTTTTTGTTTGTTTTGTTCCTATTCCAGTGTTGATTATTCTAACTTTTTGCAGTAAATTTCTGTTTCTTGGCCTATCAGTTTCAGAAAATTCATCTTCAGTTCCGAGCATTTAACACTCATCTATTTCTCTTTGTTTTTCCTAGCTCCACACTTCCTTTTCTCCCAGCCTTAATTTTCTATTTTATTAAGATTTATATTATTTGGTTTATAACTCTCTTTTTTGTGCTTCTAAAGAAGTTTCTAGAATTTAAGTACTAATAACTAGCCTTTGTTATGTAAGTATTAACTACTGTTAGAACCAAGTAGTGTGGAGCTGTAGAGGAAATTCTGTTTACTAAGCCTGTGCTGCTCTTGCCAGTATTGCTGAATTGATTGGGTGTTGTTCCATGTACCAGGCAATGCCCTGGTTGCAGGCTCGATTCCCAGTAGGTGGTGTGCTAGAGGCAGCTGATCAACAGTGCACTTTCACATCAATGTTTCCTCTCTTTTCCTCTCTCTCTAGAAATCAAGAAATTATTCTTTAAAAATAAAATAAACCTCTGCCACTTAAAGGAGAAATATAACAAAGTCCCGCTTGAGTGAGGAGAGCTCATGGACATCATTTTTTAAATTTGGTATTACGGTGTGTTCTCATCTTAGGTATTCTGGAGTTCTGAACTTTTCTAATTTGGGCATTTTCTTTCTAGTTTGTTAATACAGCTGTCATTCTGGGATTACTTTACATTACACTCCTGGGTTATGGCTATTTTTGGATTCCGTGTCTTTTTTAATTAAATTTTTATTTTAGAGGAATACAAGATGGGGCAAAAATAGGTTTGCAGTTGTGAGTACATGAAACAGAGTTTATTCTTGTATTGTTATTTATTAATCATTGTATTATTTTCCATACAAACAACTGTAAGTCTACTTTTGCTGCGCCCTGTATAATCATAAGTAGTTGTTTTTGGAAGGATATGCTGGTGATAAGCTTTGTAAGTTTGAATATTTGAAAATGGCTTGCCTTTGTTTCTGATTGAAATTTTAGTTATAGAATTTTAAGTTGGTAATACAACTTTTCTCTCTGAACTTTTAAAGTTTTGCTCTAGGAATTTAAAGCACCCTCAACGTTGCTAATCTGGTGATTATCCTTTTGTAGTAAGTAACCTTCTTTACAGTCTTTATGGTGATATCTTTATCTTTGGTCTGTTAAATCTGTTCAGTAATAGGCTTTTTTCATTCCTTTTGGCAGGAACCTTTTCAGTTTTAACACTTTAGGTTTGGGGAATTATCTTTGGTCATTTCTTTCTTCCTTTTTTGTTTTCTCTAAGACTCTTGATGGATGAATGTTGAACTTCCTAGTTGGTTTCATTTGTTTTAAGAGTTCCTCTTTTACTTTGCCTTTGAACTTTTCTGTAGAACTTATTTCAGTAATTGTATTTTTAATATATAAGATGTCTATCCTTGCTCCCTCCTGCCTTCCTTCTTCCCTCCCTCCCTTTCTGAGTATCATGTTATCATGTATATTGTGTTTGTTCAGATCCTTCTACTAACAACATAATGTAGTCACAGTTATTCCATGTCCTGTTTTTTGTTATCCACTCTTAATTTTAGACATTTTGGTAGATGTTCAGTGGTTTTAATTTGCATTCTCATAATCCCCTAATAAGTTATATAAAACCCCTTTTAATATACTTACTGGCCATTTAGATGTCTTGTGTGATGTGACTTGCCAAGTTTTTTTTGCCCATTTTTATATTGGGCCTTCTGTCTTTTTCATACTTATTTGTAAGAGTTCATTAGATACCAGCTCTTACAGATTATATTTTGCAGATAATCAGCTCTGTAAGTTTATTCAGAGTTCTGCTTGACTTCTCAACTTACCCACCACCACCCTTTCCCATTGGCAAATATCTACAGGGGAAAAGAGGCATCCAATGTTCTGCACTTCCTTTCTTCCCACAGTCTTGGCTTCTCAGGTTCTTGCTGCCTTTGTAGTGCTTTATGCCTTCAAACATATGTGTTTAATACTATGTTCAACTTTTAGGTTTTTATAGACGAAGTAAAAGTCAGTCATTGGGGGACATGGAAGATATCCAAGTCCTCCCGCATTGCAGTTTTTTCAAGGAGCTTCTTGACTGCTAGGTTCTCCACATAATTTTAGAGTCATCTTTTGAAGTTATGTAGATAAACATGCACAACTTTTCAGGGCTTTTTAGGAAATGCATTGAAGAAAATTAACATTTTGCTACTAAGTTTTCTTAATCATGAACATTGTAATCTCCATTTACCAGTATTTAGATCTTTTACAGTGTCTCAATAAAGTTTTATAGTTTTCTTCAGCTAAACTATTGCAGATATTTTGTTAGATTTATTTCTAGGTACCCTATGTTTGTATCTAATCATAAATGGTACCTTTTTATAATTATATTTTCTGTCTTGTTGGTAAATAGAAGTAAAATTTGACTTTGTATAACAATCTTGCTATACTCCTAATTGTGATGAATTATCTGTAGAACTCTTTTGGATTTCCTGTGCAGTCCAACCTATCTGTGAATAATAACCTCTTTGTTTCCTTTCCAATTCTTATGCTTTGTTTTTTTTTCTTTCTTTCTTTCTTTTTCTTGTCTTAATGTGCTGGCTAGGATCTCCAGTACAATGTTGAATAGAAGCGGTGATGGGGGCATCCTGATCTTGTTCCTGATTTTAGAGGAAATACTTTCAAAGTTTCACAGTTAAGTATAATGCTTGCTGAGGTTTATTGTAGATAATCTTTTCAGGTTAAGGCTGTTCCTTTCTATTACTAGTTTGCTAAATTAAGAAAAAATGGATGCTGAATTTTATCAAAAGCCTTTCTGTATCTTTTAAGAGGATCATGTTTTTATTCTGTAACCTGTTAATGTTTTTCTTCTGTAATCTGTTAACATGTTGAACTACATTGATTGATTTTCTAATATTTAAGTCAACCTTGTGTTTCAAGTATAAAGTCAACCCGATCTTTCTGTTTCTCTGTGTGTAGGTGTGTGTGTGACTCAATTTGAAAACAGTTCAGGATTTTTGTCTCTAATAATGTGTAATATTGACTTATAATTTAAAAATATACTTTTTCCTTCTGGAACAGTTGATGTATGATTAGAATGATCTGTTTCTCAAATGTTTGAAAGAACTCTCTTGTAAAATTGGTACTGGTTTTTTCTTTGTGGGGCACTTTCTTAGCTACTATAGTAATTGCTTTGTAGGGTTGTTCGTATTTTCAATTTTAAACCTGTTTTGATAGGTACACTTTTGTAGAAATTGTCCATTTCATCTATGTTCTTCAATTTATGGCATTAATTTGTTAATCTCTAATTTTGTGTTACCTGTCTTTAATGTCCCTTTTATCTTTTTTAAAACGCTTTCTTTTCCTTGATCAGTGTTAAGAGCTAAAAGTTTGCCAATTTGTAAGATTTCAAAGAGTTGAGTTTTTTGTCTTATATGCTCTTAAATGTATACTTTCCCATTTCATTAATTTCTGCCCATTTCTTTCTTTATACTTCCTTTGGGTTTATTTCTATTATTTTTCTGATTGCTTATATTTTTAATTTTAACATAGGCAATTAAGACCAGGAATTTCTATGTATTGCTTTCCTTGTTCACACAAGTTTTGATGTGGAGTGTTTTCATTTGTGACTATTTTTATATTTTCTCCTGTGGATTCTTTAATTGATTCTTATTTAAAAGTTTTGGTTTCAAATATAGAGTCATTTTGGTCAGCTCCTGGTCTTACACTTCTTTCTGGCTTCATGGTGCACATATGTATAAATAAATATGACCCAAAGGTGGTTACCTCTGAGTTCAGAATTGACTGAAAATCACTAAGTAGGTGGATTTATGAGGCAGCAAATGGCTAAAAGTATAAACTGGGGTTTGTTAAATAAATAGATGGTAAAATCTGAAGCAGGAACTGCCTGCTTCCCTCTTTTTACACCCAAGAACAAGTCAATAGGGAGTGGCGTGAAGGAATTCTTTTGGATTTAAATTTAAATTTAAATTTATTTTTATCGTTTTTATTTATTTATTTATTTATTTATTTATTTATTTATTTATTTATAAATATATTTTATTGATTTTGTACAGAGAGGAAGGGAGAGATAGAGAGTTAGAAACATCGATGAGAGAGAGTCATCAATCAGCTGCCTCTTTCACACCCCCTACTGGGGATATGCCTGCAACCAAGGTATATGCCCTTGACCAGAATCGAACCCAGGACCCTTCAGTTCCCAAGCCGATGCTCTATCCATTGAGCCAAACCGGCTTTGGCTATTTTTATCGTTTTTAGAGAGAAGGGAGAGGGATAGAGAGATAGACACATTTGTGATCACTCATTTCCTTGCTCTTCAAAGATATTTTCCTCATGGGATACTCAGCTAGCTTAGAAATTCATTTGGGGTCCCTCAGCCTGGCCTTTCACAATCTGGGAACCCTCAAGGGATGTCTGACTGATGGTTTAGGCCTGCTCCCCCTGGAGCCGAGGTGGAAGAGGCTCCCGCCACTGCTGCTATGCTCGCCAGCTGTAAGTCCAGCTTCTGGCTGAGTGGTGCTCCCCCTGTGGGAGTGCACTGATCTCCAGGGGACAGCTTCTGCGTTGAGCATCTGTCCCCTAGTGGTCAGTGCGTGTCATAGTGACCAGTTGTTCCACCATTTGGTCGATTTGCATATTAGCTTTTTATCATACAGGATTTTAAATAGGGTTTTTATGTTCTTGGCTATTGGCTTATGTTTCTTTTTTCTTTCCTTTTAGAATATGGTTTCTAGTTTTAGGGTTTCTGAACTACAAGTGTTACTAGGCTTTGCTGGACGGAATAAAAGTGGACGCAAGCATGACCTCCTGATGAGGGCGTTGCACTTATTGAAGAGTGGCTGCAGCCCTGCGGTTCAAATAAAAATTCGAGAATTGTATAGACGCCGATACCCACGGACTCTTGAAGGACTCTCTGATTTATCCACAATCAAATCATCAGTTTTCAGTTTGGATGGTAGCTCATCACCTGTAGAACCTGACTTGGCTGTGGCTGGAATCCACACGTTGCCTTCCACTTCAATTACACCTCACTCACCATCCTCCCCTGTTGGTTCTGTGTTGCTTCAAGATACTAAGCCCACGTTTGAGATGCAGCAGCCATCTCCCCCAATTCCTCCAGTCCATCCTGATGTGCAGTTAAAAAACTTGCCCTTTTATGATGTTCTTGATATTCTCATCAAGCCCACGAGTTTAGGTAAGTGTTAGACAAATCCATTTCTTCTAGATAAAAATTAAAGCAAGATACCTGATTTGCTGTTAAAAAATAAAATTGAGGCATTAATGCTAAATGTTTAAATGTACAGTTAAAAAAAATATTGGCAACCATGACTGAAACCTAACAGAAAATTGTTGATTTCAACATTCTCATTCTTTTGGCTTAAAATTCAAATTGCCTTTATATGTATATGTTTGGGAACAGACACAAATCTTCTTGCCTGTGATATTCTGTGTTTTGATTCTTTTGTTGTTTTTGCAAAGAGATTTAGTTTTTGTTTAACATAGCTTTTAAACTGCTTTCCTAAGAAATAAACTTTTTATACTTAACTAGAGGCTCAGGGCACAAATTTGTGCAAGGTTGGGTCCCTCGGCCTGGCCTGCAGGATCGGGCCGAAACCGGCTCTCTGACATCCCCTGAGGGATCCCAGATTGTGAAAGAGTGCAGGCAAGGCTGAGGGACCCCACTGGTACACGATCAGGGTCCAGGAGGGACACAGGAGGTTGGCCAACCAGGGAGGGACTGTGGGAGGTCTCCACGGCGTGTCTGGCCCATCTTGCTCAGTCCTGATCCACCAGACCCCAGCAGCAAGCTAAACTACCAGTCAGAGCACCTGCCCCCTGGTGATCAGTGCACATCATAGTGAGCAGTTGAACAGCCTTAACATATCATTAGCATATTACACCTGGATTAGTTGAACCTCCCACTGGTCAACTGGACACTTAGCATATTAGGATTTTATTATATAAGATTTTTTCCCCCTGAAATGGCAAAAGGAGTTTGACACATTTCTGCTTTTTGTTTAATATTCATCAATTGCTCAGAAAATATAATAAATTTTATGATATTACTTAAAGTTGATACAGGTATCTATCAAATTTGTATCTGGGTTGATGACTTCTATGTTGGAATAGCATAATTTCTTACTGCTTAATGAAATTCTATGCAGAGGTATTTAGATTTATTGATGAAATAAACTGGGAAATGGTATTTCATAGTTAACAGGGGAGATTACTTTCTTTTCCATCCCGTGAAGACTCTTTTTGTTTCCAGTTACTTGAAAACTCATATATATATAAGTGTGCTCTTTTCCTTTGTGTAGGATTATACTGCAGCACATCTTGGTTGTGCCAGAAGGAAATTTTGAGGGGCAGAGCTGGTTAATGGAGTCAATATGGCCTGTTTGGTTGGTAGGCCAAGGTGGCTATGCTTTTCCAGGCTCTGTTTCCTTGCTTTGCTTTCATTTTACAATATTGAGCCAGGCAGGTAGAGTAATGCATTTTTATCCTGCCATTATATTCATTCTGCAATAAGGATTCTGTACTTGTTCCCGATTTTATTATTTGTACAGAGTCCTATGAGTAGAATTATTATATCTAAGATAAGAACATTTTAGACTCTTGATAACATATTGCTGAATTAGTTTCTAGAAGAGCTATGCTAATTTAAATTATACAAATGAGGAATGTCATTGAATTTTATTACCTGCCTTTATTAGTTATTAAAAACAAATCTTTGTATTTTGATGGATAAAAACTTGTGTCTTCTTTAGATTATTTTATTTCTAAAATTAATATTAGGGGCAAACATTTCAAATATTTATTACCCAGTGCCTTTTTAAAAATATATATATATTTTATTGATTTTTTACAGAGAGGAAGTGAGAGGGATAGAGAGCTAGAAACATCCATGAGAGAGAAACATCCACCAGCTGCCTCCTGCACACCCCCACCAGAGATGTGCCCGCAACCAAGGTACATGCGCTTGACTGGAATCAAACCTGGGACCTTCCAGTCCGCAGGCTGATGCTTTAACCACTGAGCCAAACCGGTTCTGGCTTGTTTTTTTTTGTTTTTTTTTTTTTTGTTTTTTTTTTTGTTTTTTTTTTTTTACAGCTTCGTTTATCTAGTTAAAATGTTTCCATAATTTTATTTCTCCCTTTGTCATGGTTTTTTGGTTTATACCATGCTACCAATGCACAATATCATGGCTCATACATATGTTTCTTTCTCAGCAATTATTGCAAGAAAGCAACTATTTATATGTATTTTGAGAAAAATTTAGACTTGTGATATATGTTTAGGTGACCCTACCTCATGGAACTCCTCAGGAATATGGACAAGGTGAGGACTGAGAAAATAAAAGGGCCTTTGGGGTCATGGCTCTGAAGGTGTTTCAGAGACATGGTTGATTGCCCAGAAAAAAAAGACTGAGACAGAGAAGATGCAGCAGTGTTTCTTCTCTCTTATTGGTATCCCTGGTGCACCAAGGGGTGAACTCTGGAGAGGCTTCCTGCTTTTTTCAGAAATAGAAATATTCTTACTTTTTTGTGTTCTTCATACTGTTTCTCTTTAAATAACTTCAGTAAGTTTAAAGAAAAGTAGTAGGATTTTTATAAGTTTACTAAAATAAAACTTTTGTATTTCATTTGGCTAAGATAAAATACTGCCGGATGTATTTTGAAAATGGCTTAGAAAAACTAGTGTTTTGCTCATGGTTAGAATGTAAGGGGGAATATATATATATATATATATATATATATATATATATATATATATATATATTTATAAAATCTCAGAATTTACAAAATAACTTCTTACCTCTAAGTTAAAACTTATCTATATAGTTTTTAGGAGTTCTGTCTATCATTATTTTTATAAGCAATATAAACTAATTCTTGTTTTAAAATATGGCTTAAACATTTTGTTATTCTGCCTTCGTCCTAAAGAGGAAAAAAAATTTTTAGTGTATTTTGTCTTATGTCTGATTGATGAAATACTCAATGAAATCCTAAGAAATGTTCTTTTTGAAAAATATGTTTAATTGATTTCAGAAAGAGGAAAGGAGAGGGAGAGAGAGATAGAAGCATCAATAATGAGAGAGAATTACCAATCGGCTGCCTCTTGCACACTCTCGACCTAGTAATGTGCCCTGACCGGAAATCAAGCCTGCAACCTAATCATGTGCCCTGACAGGAATGCTCTACCACTGAGCTATTCCAGCTGGACTAAGAAGTCTTTTAGACTTTGAGGTAGAAAGTTTAAAAATCAGCATAGTACCATGTAGTATGCCAAATAAAAGTGGAAAATTTTAATGTTTTTCAATAATGACCTTTAGTTGAAAATTTTTTATTTCATATGTCTAAGGTAATGTAATATGGTGTGGTTTTATGATGTTGGAAATACTTTTAAAATCAAAAATCTTTGGGAAAACTTATTTATTTGGATACTGCTATGGAGAAACCTATTTAAAATTGGGAACTGAGAATTAAAAATCTTCAAGATTCAAAAGAAATGTCAAATCCAAATTTCAAAGCATATATTTCTGACAACTACAAGCCAGATTGTGTGTTTTTTTATTTTACATACAATTGATTAGAAGACTTTTAAACTGTCAACATATTGTTAAGTAGGAATTGACAACATGGGAGAGACTGGAAGAGCCCTGGTAGAAGAAACAGATATAAGAGGTTAAAAATATCATTCCAGAACCTTTTGTGGTATTGAATCCAAAAGATCGTTAGTATTGAAAGAATTGCTGTTACAGCATGGCATACAGATTGATGCTAAAAAATACCAATGATGACAGTATATTCTATTTAAGAAGATACCTTATTATATAGTTTGCAGTTTGGAATCATTTTTATTCAAAATGATTAAAATTAAAATATTTTAGCATTTGAAATGGCAGACTGGAATCTATAAAAGTTGAATGGACACAATACTAAATCAGATTCTAATATTAACTAAATATTAACTTTTTTCTTTCCTTTCCAGTTCAAAGCAGTATTCAACGATTTCAAGAGAAGTTTTTTATTTTTGCTCTGACTCCTCAACAAGTTAGAGAGATATGCATATCCAGGTAAGAAGAATGTTTGAAATTTATTTCTCCATGAACATTGATGTATTAATCTGCTAAGGCTACTGTAACAAAGAACCACATCCTGGGTGGCTTAAACAGCAGAAGTTTATTTTTTAACATTGTAGGAGGCTTGAAATCTAAGATTCAGTGTTTATAGATTTGCTTTCTCCTGAGTCCTTTGGCTTTTGGATGGCTGCCTTCTTGCTGTGTGTACTCATGGCCTTTCCTCTGTGCACCTGTGCATCTCTGGTGTCTCTTTCTCCTTTTATGTGGACTTTAGTCATATTGGATTAAAACCTCACTCTTGTGACTTCATTTAACCTTATTTACCTTTTTAAAATTCTCATCTCCATATATGTTACATTAAGGAGATTAGAGATTCAATATGATATGAGATAATACAGTTTATTTCATATCAATTAAACTGCTTCTTTCTAAGTAAGTGTGGTGTATACCTTGACTAAGGTTACCCAAATATTTAATAAATATTTTATACTAGAAAAATATTTAAACTTAGAGTAAAACACCAGACTATCTTCTGAATTATTTTTTTGTCACATTTGGCAATAATGTTTCTAATGAAAAATTTGTTTCAAATATAGCAACATAAAAAAGATTTTGTGATAGTCCAAAGACAGGATGATCATATATTGTATCATCCAAACTGAGGCATTTTTAGAGTGCAAGTAGACATTATTAGTTATTTTTATGAGATAAGAACATCAACTGGTACTGTTCTGGTTATAGTACAAAGATTAGTCCAAAAAATCCAAATAACTAGGGGATTCAGAAAAAAATAGAGAAAATTTAGAGGAGGAAATTGCCAAAGAAGTAAATGAATGTAGCTTGATGTAATCCATGTTCATCAGGGGTAAGGGATTGAATTAGTGTAAATTGGAAGTACTTTCAATCTTGAGGATAGTAATAAATCAGCTAACAAACAAATAGAACAAGTAAAATAGTATAATTCATATCCAAAACCATATCATTAACCTTAAGTTTTATTTGTTGTTTAGGGGTAATCTCTTGCTTGAGATTAGCATTTACTAAGTGTTTTATTGGGTGCAAAACACTGTATTATATGATACTAGTGGCCTGGTACACAAAATTCATGCACGGAGGTGGCGGGGGTGGGGGGAGGGGTTCCCTCAGCTCAGCCTGCACCCTCTCCAATTGGGGACATTCCACTCGCAATCTGGGATCACTTTCTCCTAACTACTCACCTGCCTGCCTGCACAATTGCCCCTAACGGCCTCTGCCTACCTTTCTGGTAGCCCCTAACCCCTCTGTCTGCATGATCACCCCTAAATGCTTCTGCCTGATTGCCCCTAACTGCCCTCCCCTGCAGGCCTGATCTTGCCCCCAATTGCCCTCCCCTGCCGACCATTTTGGTTCTGATTGATCAGTGTCTATGCCAGTCATCATGTCTGGGCATATCTCTGAGCCTGATCAGAGAGGTGGAGCTGATCAGCAGTCCCCCAAGGAGGCCCAGGGAGAAACAGAGGCACGGCTGCTGGCGAAGCCCAGAGAGAAAGGGAGAGGCAATGGCTCAACAGCTGCCACAGAGTCTGTAGATCAGACCTCGCCTCTCTCTTTGGGCCTCTATCTGGGCCTGATCCGTAGCCCCCTTGGCAGTCAGTGCTGGGTCACTGCATCTGCACTGGTGGCAGTCAGCTGGGTCGCCACGGCAACCCAGCACTGACTGCAGGACTGACTTCTGATGTTCAGTTGAGCCTTCAGTTGGTCATTACAGACCCTGGGTTTTATATATTTTGATAACTCCTTTCTACAAGTTGTTTTCCACAAGTCTTGTTTGTGAACCAGTATATTCATAAAATCATCATTGGCATTGTGAGGTGTCATATGAAAAGAGCCAATTCAGTAAGGACAAGTGAGAGCTGATTTATAGGAGGCAGATATTACTTTTAACCTTGGGAAAGCTTCACTAGAGTGTTGGGTGGTCCTTTGAAGGAAGATTATTTAGAGTAAGTAGATTTCAAGATACATTTTTAAATAAAATTTTAAAGTTTGAACTATGTGAATATATTCATTAATTAAGAAATGAATGATTAAAATTTAAATAATTTTAATTTACAGGTTTAATTATGTTCTAGTGATGGGTGATGGTGATGATTGATACTCAACCACTGTGCCATGCTGGCCGAGCACCACCAAAACATTAAAAAAAAAATTTTTTTTTTATTGACTTCAGAGAGGAAAGGAGAGGAATAGAGAGAAAAGGAGAGGGATAAAGAAAAACATCAATGAGAGAAACGTCTATCAGCTGCCTCCAGCACACACCCTACTGGGTATGTGCCCGCAACCAAGGTACATGCCCCTGACCAGAATCGAATCTGGGACCTTTGAGTCCGAAGGCCGACACTCTATCCACTGAGTCAAACTGATCTAGGGCTCAAAAACATTTTTTAAATTAATAATAAAAGTAATGCTATTTACAATTCTCCTTCCAAAGAAAAAATAAAACTCACATACACTTGTACATAAAAGCCCCAACCTTATCAGAGTCATCTAATAAAAAATCTCCTTCCGAAATGGAAGTAAAAGCTTAGTACCCATTACCGTGCTTTAGTAATTATCAAAATTTTGATAGTCTGTACCAAATATTACCTCCCCTCCACATTTTTCCTGAAATAGTTTAAAGCAAATAACAGGCATCATATAATTTCACCCAGAAATACTTCAAAATGCATCTCTGATTAATTTTTAACACAATCATAATTAAATAACAATTCATAATTCCTTAATATAAAACAATGTCTAGCCCATGTATTACACCATACTCCTAAATTGTTACTTTGAAGTAATTATAGATTTACAGAAAAGTTGTAAAAAGTGCAGATATACTTTCACCTAGCTTCCCTTAACATCTTGTATAACCATACTTTAATTACCAAAACCAAGAAATTAATACAATACTGTTTACTAAATTACAGACTTTATTCAGATTTTATCAGTTTTTCTACTATTGAATTTCTGTTCCTGGATACAATCCAAGATCCCAAATTATATTTAATTGTGTCATTTTAATCTCTTTCAGTTTGACAGTTTCTTAGTTTTGCCTTGTCTTCTATAACTGTTGATACATTTTTAAAAATATATTTTATAAAATTTTTACAGAGAGAAAGAGAGAGGGATAGAGAGTTAGAAACATCGATGAGAGAGAAACATTGATCAGCTGCCTCCTGCACAATCCCTACTGGGTATGTGCCTGCAACCAAGGTACATGCCCTTGACCAGAATTAAACCTGAGACCCTTGAGTTTGCAGGCCAAAGCTCTATCCACTGAGTCAAACCAGTCAGGGCAAACTGTTGATATTTTTGAAGAGTTCTAGTTAGGTGTCTGTGGGATGTCCCTCAATTTGGGTTTACATGATGTTTTGTCATGATTAGATTGAGATCAGGCATTTTTGGCAAGAATGCCCAAGGTATATTTCCTTCTCCGTGTATCTTATCAGGGGCTGCATAATATTGATGCATCTTATTTTTGGCAGTGTTAATCTTGGTCACTTGGATAAAGAGTTGCCTACCAGATTTTTGCACTGTGAAGTTGCTCTTTTCCCTTTGTTATTAAAAAATATCTTGGGATCCCTAGCCTAGTGGTCAACAAACTCATTAGTCAACAGAGCCAAGTATCAACAGTACAACAATTAAAATTTATTTTGAGAGCCAAATTTTTTAAACTTAAACTTCTTGTAACACTGCTTCTTCAAAAATAGACTCGCTCAGGCCGTGGTATTTTGTGGAAGAGCCACACTCAAGGGGCCAAAGAGCCTCAGTTTATCAACCATGACCCTAGCAAGGTCCCGGGTTTGATTCTGGTCAAGGGCACATGCCTGGGTTGCAGGCTCTATCCCCAGTAAGGGATGTGCAGGAGGCAGCCAATCAATGATTCTCTCTCATTGATGTTTCTATCTCTCCTTCTCCCTTTCTCTCTGAAATAAATAAATAAATAGAAGATATAAAAAGTATCTTGGGAGAAGGAGGTACTTTGAGATTAAACACATATTGTTTCTCTTCAGATTTTAGCTCACCAATGTAAGCATTCACTTGTGGTTATTGCCTTTAGCAGTTACTTCATGATAAACACTCTGTGTTTCAATGGTGTGATTTTTCTGTTGTCTCTATTCTCTTCCACATCAGAGTTATTCTTTTTTATGGAAGGGCAAGTCCTTTTCCTTTATTTATTTATTTATTTATTTATTTATTTATTTATTTATTTATTTATTTGCATCCATGTGGGTTCTTGGATACTTTGAGGGTTGTAATTATAAGTAATTACAAGTAATTAAATTATAAGTAATTTATGTTGTTGCTCAAACTGTTCTACCTTTGGCCGTTAGACATTCTTTTAGGTTGGTTAACCCATTTTCTTTCTATTTTCCACAGGGATTTTTTGCCAGGTGGTAGGAGAGATTATACAGTCCAAGTTCAGCTGAGGCAAGTTTGAAATTTTCTTTTACTTTAATAATGTTTGCTAACTATGTGCATATAGTCATGATTTTGAAAATACATAAGCATGTTTGAGTATACTATTTAAGAATAATGTATTTTTTTTCTTTAATGCAGACTTTGCTTGGCAGAGACAAGCTGCCCTCAAGAAGATAACTATCCCAATAGTCTATGTATAAAAGTAAATGGAAAACTTTTTCCTTTGCCTGTAAGTTGCTTTTAATTCACTAGGAGAGTAGGTAAAGTAATAGGTAAAGTAGAGTAGGTAAAGTCCGGTAGAGTAGGTAAAGACTAATCATGAATAAATAAATTATTGATTGGATAATGGGTATATGGGACTTCATTATATTTTTTCTTTCTTTGTTTATGTTTAAAAATTTTCAGTAATAAAAAGACATCGTTGAAGCAATTGGGAAATTTGAATATAAACCTTATATTATGTAATTTTTTTAAATTATGAGTAATTTTGTAAGATTGCGATCCTTTTTTTAAAGGTCTTAATAATATAATTATATAGGATATCAGGTTAATTTAATATCAATTATCACTCACAAGATTTTAATAATTTTTTTTGAAATTCATTACTTTGCTCTTAATTCCCAAAGCTTATTTTCCTCTTTCCCACTCCCAGTATTTTAAAATATATATATTTTATTGATATTTTTACAGAGTGGAAAGGATAGGGATAGTGAGTTAGAAACATCGATGAGAGAGAAACATCGGTCAGCTACCTCCTGCACACCTCCTACTGGGGATGTGCCCGCAACCCAGGTACATGCCCTTGACCAGAATCGATCCCAGGACCTTTCAGTCCTCAGGCCGATGCTCTATCCAATGGCCAAATCAGTTAGGGCGACTCCCAGTATTTGAATGCATTTTGAATGGTAGCTTCTAAGATGAAGCAATACAAAGAGATGTAATTTTATTGTTTGTAAAGAGAAAAAAAGATTCTAACCAATGTGACAAGATGTCAACATTTTAAATTTTAATGGTGGAACAGGGATTTTGTGTTTGGAGGAACATATTTTTCTGAACTTGTGAAATATTTTATAACTTTAAAAAATGTCATTTTTCTCTTTTGGGTTGATGACTTTAGGGTGAGGACTGTGATTTCTGGTATAAAATAAAAAGAATTAGTGTAACTGAAATTATACAAGAATCTGTATCTATCTTGGAGAAAATGTTTAATGCCTACAGGTAATTTTATTTCTTTCTTATGTTTATAGGGCTACGCACCACCACCTAAAAATGGGATTGAACAGAAGCGCCCTGGACGCCCTTTGAATATTACATCTTTAGTTAGGCTGTCTTCAGCTGTGCCAAACCAGATTTCCATTTCTTGGGCATCAGAAATTGGGAAGGTAAAAATTCTCTCCTCTGAGCAACAGGAAAGTAATCCCACTAGTAGATATATTTTGTTGTTGTTTTTCTTAGGCTACCAGCTCCAATTTGTTCCGTTTTCTGATTTTAATCTCTAAAAAGCAGTAATTTCCAATTCAGGGATGGAGGTATAGAGATTCTTAAAGTTAAAAATTTTAATGTTTCCTGAATCTCATCTCTTTATTTTCCTCAAAAGGAAATAATTATAATTACAATATTTCTTAAGGTAATGGTTTAATCACAATAATGTTTAAATAACATGTTAAGAAACTGGAAACTTTGGGTGATATTTTCTATTTATGAATAGTAACAGAAAAGCTTTATCTAACTTTAGGGAAAACAGTTAAATGTATTCATGTTGTAATGAGAAATAATCTGTATCAGCCTTAATAGAAACAGCTGATACTTCAGATAATATGTGGGCATCTCATGAACACATTTACTTAGAATTGTATTATTTCCTCTATAGCTTTAGGTTGATTATCTGGCTTTCTGTTGATTCTTAGTCTTAAAATGCTTTATATCAGTTATGAGTTACTGATTAATGCAACAAGGCATTTCATTTTAGAACTATTTGTTCATATAATTGAAATAATAGGCAAATTTCAGTTAATTTCTGAACATAGATTTTAAAAAATGTTTTTATTGATTTTTTTTTTTTTTTTTTTTTTAAGAGAGAGGAAGAGAGAAGGATAGAGAGATAGAAACATCAATGATAGAGAAACATCCTGGATCAGCTGCCTCCTAAATGCCCCCACTGGGGATCATCAGTTGAACATAAACTTGAATATTGTTTTCTGATAGGAAAAAAAGTATACTATTTTGTAGCGGAAGGAACCGCTGAGCTAAAGCAAGCCCAAAAGTATACTATTTTGTATTTTATGGATAGAGAAATTGAGTGACATGTTTGTAGGAAGAATTTTTTGGTTTTATTACCACGGTAATTGCAAATATGGACATAAAGAAGGGCATTTTTGTATTAATTTTAAATTATAAAGATATTTCTCTCTAATGATTGTTCTGTTGAGCTCTCATTTCTGAATTTTTACTATTATCAGTAGTGTCATAGGGTACTAATTTATAGTATTTTTCATTTGCATGAACTGAATGTGCAATGATAAAGCATTAGATAATGATTCAGAAAATCTTGGCTTAGTTCTAAGTTGGCCATTGTTTCCTAATTCCCTGAGGCCTACTTACTATAAAGAATAGGTAAAATCTTGAGAATGAGTGTTATATACAAATGTAAAGGACATTATCAAATGAGCAAGTATTAATACTTTAAAGCCTAGTGAGTGGAATTTGAACAGAATAATATTTTTTTTAAATGATTACCAACTTTCAGGTTTTTGAACAAATGGTTGTAGGCATTGAAGACCTGTTAATTTTTTTCTTTTTGCCACACCGCAAGAATAATATATATTTTTTTGTAATTATATTAATTGACTTAAAATTTGCACACTATCTTGGATATTCAGATATTTAAAAGGACTGTTTCAGGACATTAAAAATAATATTTTAAATTATTGGTTTGGCGAATACTCAAGTATTTTCTTACTATAGAATTGATTGAGTTCATATATGTAGTGCAAAGGTAAGAGATTTTTAGCATTTTGGTAAAATTATATTTCATCCCTTTATGGCTCTATCAATAATTAATGAAGGTTCCTTTGTGCCAGGTTTAAGAGGTATGGATTGATGTTATTCTGGCCTTGTCTATTTTATTATGTTTTCATGTGTCTTAAACACTCCAGTAGCTGCCCCTTTCCTAGTGAAATGCTCATTTTAGAATAGGAGTTAATTTGTTCGAGTTTTTCTCAGAAGAAAGCTGATTTGGGTTCATTTAAATGATTGCTCAAGGCCATGCAGCAAGTGGTCTCTTCTGCTCAAGGCCATGAAGTAAGTGGAATTCTGGATTTGAAATGTTAATTCAGACCTCTGGTGTTTGAACTTTCTGCAGTGGAACCCATTTTACAATGACAATATTATGAGAGCCCATACATAAAAACAAAAATTCTAGTTAGAAGTCAGCAGGGGAAAATACATTTTTATTCATGCCATGTTGGTCCCTGAGGTACCAATTTTGCTAGATTAGAAACATACTGAGGCATGTAATCTTCCCCATGGATGTTTTAAAATGATAAGTGATTGAGAAATACCTTTAATATGATTGGGCTTTTATCTTCCCTGAAAGAGCTGATTTTGTTTCCTTAGCTGATTTTGTTGACCTTCCTGTGGAAGTTACTTTGAATGTCATTTTTAGAAACCAGAGATTCTTAGACAAGTATTTTATGTACATAAAGAGACTATTATCTCTTGTCTTTAATACAGATTATCTTTCTTTGTAGAATTACTCCATGTCTGTATATCTTGTACGGCAGCTCACATCAGCCATGTTATTACAGAGATTAAAAATGAAAGGTATTAGAAACCCTGATCATTCCAGAGCACTAAGTAAGTAATGTTTGTAAGGTTGAGCATATGAGATGCTTTAATGGAAAAAAAAAAAAAAAAAAGCCTCACATATACATCAATATAGGAATAATTTAGGAACAAGTATTAGAAATCTAAAATGAATATTGGATTAAAAATACTCCCAAAACACTGCCCTATAAATTGAAAAAAATCCTTCTCTTGGAAACTATTCCCAAGAAGGGAATAAACCCCTACTAGTGTGATTTTGAGCCTTCTCATGAAAACTAATTTAAATAAACATTAAGTTCATGGTAGTTTGGTTGTATACATTAACTTGAGAATAGGAATGCAAGTTTAATAGAATGTACATTTTTAAAAATAGTAAATATTATAATCAAAAGCTCTTTTTGCTGAAGAACGGTTGATATCCACCAGCAACAATATTTGCCTTCTGAGATGTTTTATTTTGTACTTTGCTTTGATATAATAATAGATAGAGAAAAAAAAAAAAAAACCTAACCCAAACTGTAAATAATTCAGTTCAGTAACTAAATGTAATTGAAATAAGACATTTTTGGGGGAAAGAAAATATTTTCCCTTGCCGCTGAATGAACCTGAAAGGAGAAAAGAATCTATAGGTTGAAATGGGAGCCAAGTAGGGCTTTTGAAATTTTGAAATGGTATTTTGTTTCTTATATCTTGAACCATTTCTTATTACCTCAGCACAATATTGATCTTGCCTAGACTTAGAAGCCAAGGAAGTTCTTTTCTAATTTTTCTTGTCTTGTTCCATTTTCCGCTCTCTTTTGTTCCTCCCTATAATGGCATTGAGAATTAGGCTTCTGAAGGCAGTGCTATATTTATTAGCTTCTATATGCAGTAACTTGTATACTTTACCTGATAAATGAAATCTCAGACACATTACCACATCACTTGTAGTTTTCAGTTGTCAAAGGAAGTATAAAAATATATGACTTTTCTGTTTGTAAATTTAGTAATTATTGGAAACAGCCACCACTCCCTAATGAAAAGTAATGAATGTGTGTTAGAACAGCATTGAAACTCATTCTAAATTCCTTCCTAATTGTTTTGTTATTAAATCTTAAACAGCTTTCTGTTCTGAAATTCTTACTTACAATTTTACTTTTAAAAATTTAGTTAAACATCTGATACAGAGTTTGCAAGTTTGCAATTCTTTAACCTAATGCTGAAAGTATAATTCTGTTTTTAATACATGAATACTTAACTGTTTGTTTGTTTTGTTTTTGTAGTTTCTTGACTTATTCAGTGTGTTTGGGGAAACCTTAAATAATATTATATATATTTCTATAATTCTGTTCATATGCCACAATTAATATTTAAATTTAAAATTCTTTTTTCTTCTTTTTGAAGTTAAAGAAAAACTTACTGCAGATCCTGATAGTGAAATTGCTACAACTAGCCTTCGGGTATCATTGATGTGCCCTGTAAGTAAAGCAACAAAACATTCTGGGGTGTTTTACTTTTTATAAATCACTAATTTTCTTTTGAAAGTAAGTGTGGGAATGAATGATATATTATGGTAGAATTCTAAACTTCTGTCATTTTCCCATTCGGGAATCTTCATGATGAAGTAATTTCAGAGTGCAAACATTCTTTTATTTTGAAGCTTTATTTATTTATTTAATATATTTTATTGATTTTTTACAGAGAGGAAGAGAGAGGGTTAGAGAGTTAGAAATGTTGATGAGAGAGAATTATCGATCAGTTGCCTCTTGCACACCCCCTACTGGGGATATGCCCGCAACCAAGGACATGCCCCTGACCAGAATTGAACCTGGGATTTTCCAGTCCGCAGGCCTATGCTCTATCTACTGAGCCAAACCGGCTTTGGCATGAAGCTTTATTTTTTAAAAATTATTCTTAACTTAAACTAACATTTTTATTGAAAAGGGATAGAATTACATGAAATTGGAAAACCCAGAGAGAAGTCTGTAGTGCCAATAGGAGAGGTGGTGACAGGGATCCTAATGGGCGTGTATTTTCAGGCAAAAGTTTTAATCTTTCATAGGATAGCTTCATATTGTGATAATTTTTTTGTACTGATATATGTGAAAAAAGTCACTAATTTATATTATGTGATCGAAGGTTCAAAATTTTGTGTTTCGTATGCCACCATTCAGGTGAAAATGTTTTTTATTTATTTTAAATTATTTTTTTTAATGTTTTTTAAAACACATAAACCATCTATGAAAGGACATTCAAGAGTTGTTTAACAGTGGTTCTCTCTAAGTAGGAGAACCAGTGACAAAGAGACATGTTTTCATTGTATATGGATGTTGTCCTACCTGTGAATTTGTTACTTATCAAAAAGTGAAAACATTATATTTTCAAAAAGTGAAAACATTTTTTTTTTTAAATTATAGGGCTATCAATGAATACTAATAAAATGTGCAACAGTCTTGATGGAAGTAAATTCTTTTTTGAATTTCTTTTTCATTTTGAACTTCTTGTATGACTTCTTTCAGACTTTTATGACTGATTGTTCCCATTGAGGTTTTATTCTCCTTTCTGACGTGCTTTCTCATGTTTTCTTTCCTGCCTGTAGTTAGGGAAAATGAGGCTGACAATCCCATGCCGAGCAGTGACTTGTACACATCTACAGTGTTTTGATGCTGCCCTTTATCTGCAAATGAATGAGAAGAAGCCTACCTGGATTTGTCCTGTGTGTGACAAAAAAGCTGCCTATGAAAGTCTAATTTTAGATGGGTAAATATTAGCTTTGTCTTCATTCATTATAGCCTCAAAGAAATTCTCTTCTAGCATAAAGTCAAGATGTTTGTGTGTTTTCTGCTTTATTCTACACAATCTTTTTTTTAAAAACCGTGGTTAACGGCTCTTTTATGATTTCTGTTGGAGGCAAGAGGTAGAGTAGTTTCCTTTTATTTTTGCTTCCCAATATCATATTTCATAGCCTGTCTTAAAAGGGAAAGCCCACTTTCTAAGTGAGCGTAAGTCTGACTGGAAGTTTGTTGATTTTATTGATCTTAAAATACTAGCATTTTTGTTTCACTGATTTTTCTCTATTTCATTTGTTTTTATCCATTTGTTTACTTTCACTTTAATTGTTCTTTTTTCATAGTTTCATTTAGAGAAGCCTAGCTTATTTATTTGCATTCTCCTAATATAGAAAGATTAGTGCTATAAATTTTCCTCTAAGAACTGCTTTAGCAAAATTTCACAAATTTTGTTACATTTTTATTTTCATAAAGTTTAAAATACTTGTTAATTTGTTTTTATGTTTTCTTTGTCTCATGGGTTGTTTGTTAATTTTCAAATATATGAGGATTTTCATATATTTTTCAGATGATGATTTAAAATTCAGCCTGATTGCCCCTAACTGCCTGCGTCTGCTGGCCTGGTCATCCCTAACTGCTCTTCCCTGCCTGCCTGGTCTCCCGAGCTGCCCTCCCCTGCTGGCCTGGTCACCCATAAATGCCCTCCTTTGTCAGCCCGGTTGCCCCTAACTGCTCTCCCCTTTAGCCTGGGCCCCCCCAACTATCCTCCCCTGTAGGCCTGGTCTGTTGCAACTGCCCTCCCTGGCAGGCCTGGTCCCCCTCAACTGCTCTCTTCTGCCGGCCCGGTCACCTCTAATTTCCCTCCCAACTGCCCTGTTGGCCTGGTTGTCCACATTTGCCCTCCCCTGCTGGCTGTCTTATGGTGGCCATCTTGTGTCCATATGGGGGTGGCCATCTTTGAACATATGGTGTGTTGGAGTGATGGTCAGTTTGCATATTACTCTTTTATTAGGATTTCTTCTTCCCCTCACCTCTATGATTCTTTTTGCTTGATATTATAAACTTATAAGTTAGATTTTATATATTAACATTTCTGTTCGGTTATGTGTATTTTATATGTTGTATTGAAGGTTGTTCTTTACTGCAATCAGTTTCTGTTTAGCCACTATTTTTTAGATGACTCAGTAAGTCATTTAACTCTTTTATGCCCTTTAGAGATCTAAAACATAGACGGAAGGAGGTATAATAGTTGTCCTAAAGTTTAAAGTATTGAACTACCAAAATAAGCTGAAGTCGGTATTACTTTTGTCTCCAATGTAATAAGTACTTCTTTGTTATAATTTCACTTTTGAACAAGGTCATTGATTACATTTTTCTACTTAATTGGTTTATAGCCTTTTTATGGAAATTCTGAGCGACTGTTCTGATGTGGATGAGATCAAATTCCAAGAAGATGGCTCTTGGTGTCCAATGAGACCGAAGAAAGAAGCTATGAAAGTATCCAGCCAACCGTGCACAAAAATAGAAAGTATGTGTAGAATGGCAGCAGAGAGCAAAGCAGTGAGACTCCTGCAGCATTATCTTTATCATTAACATTGGCCACTAGAATTTCATTTGAAGCTCAGTTTGCTAATTTTGTGTGTGTGTTAATCCTCACCCGAGGATATTTTTTCCCCATTGATTTTTAGAGAGAATGAAAGGGGTGAAGGGAGGGGAAGAGACCACATCAATTAGTTGCCTTCCGCATGTACCGTGGTCAGGACTGGGATCAAGCTTGAAATTGAAGTATGTGCCCTTAACTGGAATCGAACCTGAGACCTTCAGTCCGAGGACCAGTGCTCTAAACCACTGAGCAACCAGCTAGACTGTAATGGAAAATAAGTTTATCTTTTGATAACTTTTTCTTTTGATCATCTATCACATAGGTAATTTTTCCCAACTGATTTTTATTCTTTTTAAGAAATGTGCCCAAGTTTATAAGTATACTATTCTTTTAACCAGCCTTTTTATAGTTATTTTTCATATGTAAAGTAAATGAAAAAAATCATCTAAAATTATTTTAATATATGGTGTTTGTTACAAAATGAAAAGTTATAAATGACATTTCTATGGACAGTTTTTTCTTTTCTTTTTAAAAAAAAATTGATATTTTTACAGAGAGGAAGGGAGAGTGATAGAGAGTTAGAAACATCAATGAGAGAGAAACATCTATCAACTGCCTCCTGCACACTCCCCACTGGGGATGTGCCCGCAACCAATGTACATGCCCTTGACCAGAATCGAACCTGGGACCCTTCAGTCTGCAGGCCGATGCTGTATCCACTGAGCCAAACCGGTTAGGGCTATGGACAATTTTTCAGAATTGTTTTTAGAGTATCTGTTGAGGTACCTGTGAATAATGAAGGAAAAGTTCCCCACATCTTTGAGAAAAATAGTGATTTAGTTGATTATTTGCTGCTGCTTTTTCATTATCAACTAGCATTCATTTACTTCTTTTTTTTTTTTTTTTTTTTTTTTTTTTTTTTTTTTTTTTTTTTAGCAATCTTTATTGTTCATATTATTACAAAGGTTCCTCATTTCTTCCCCCCTCCACCAGGTTCCCACCCCACCCTCCGTCCCCCCCCATCCCCCATTGTCCTCATCCATAGGTGCAGTTTATGTTCAGTCTCTTCTTCCCTCAATTTCCCCAATAGTAAATCCCTTTTCAGATAGTAAATCAGTTACTTAGCATTTTCTCATATCAATAATACCTCCACATGCCCAATGATACACTTCACACAAAAGACATTTCCCACTAGGTCAACCAGCCTCATCCAGGCCCCACCCAAGGCACTCACAGATCAACACCCCAATCCTAAACTAACTCAACACATCCAGATCTAAGCCTTCATCACTTGATTCAGCAGACACTCAAGTTCCCACGAAAGTTTCCATCCATGTCTGAGAAGCAGCCGTGGGGCAGGGGCAGGCAAGGAGCGAGCTGTTCTGGGCCTGGCTGCTCAGGGCCTGGCCTCTGTTGCTCTGGTTCATTCCACAACCAGCTGCTCCGGGTCTGGTCACTGCCACTCCCAACCTAGTTGCTCTGGACTTGGCTGCTGCTGCTCCGGGCCTGGCCGCTCCCAGCCTGGAAGCCGCTGCTCCGGGCCTGGCCGCACCCGACCCGGCTGCTCCCCCGGGCCTGTCCGCTCCCAGCCTGGCAGCCGCTGCTCCGGGCCTGGCCACACCCGACCCGCCTGCTCCCCCGGGCCTGGCCGCTCCCAGCCTGGCAGCCGCTGCTCCGGGCCTGGCCGCACCCGACCCGCCTGCTCCCCCGGGCCTGGCCGCTCCCAGCCTGGCAGCCGCTGCTCCGGGCCTGGCCGCACCCGACCCGCCTGCTCCCCCGGGCCTGGCCGCTCCCAGCCTGGCAGCCGCTGCTCCGGGCCTGGCCGCACCAGCCCCGCCTGCTCCCCCGGGCCTGGCCGCTCCCAGCCTGGCAGCCGCTGCTCCGGGCCTGGCCGCACCAGCCCCGCCTGCTCCCCCGGGCCTGGCCGCTCCCAGCCTGGCAGCCGCTGCTCCGGGCCTGGCCGCACCAGCCCCGCCTGCTCCCCCGGGCCTGGCCGCTCCCAGCCTGGCAGCCGCTGCTCCGGGCCTGGCCGCACCAGCCCCGCCTGCTCCCCCGGGCCTGGCCGCTCCCAGCCTGGCAGCCGCTGCTCCGGGCCTGGCCGCACCCGACCCGCCTGCTCCCCCGGGCCTGGCCGCTCCCAGCCTGGCAGCCGCTGCTCCGGGCCTGGCCGCACCCGACCCGCCTGCTCCCCCGGGCCTGGCCGCTCCCAGCCTGGCAGCCGCTGCTCCGGGCCTGGCCGCACCAGCCCCGCCTGCTCCCCCGGGCCTGGCCGCTCCCAGCCTGGCAGCCGCTGCTCCGGGCCTGGCCGCACCAGCCCCGCCTGCTCCCCCGGGCCTGGCCGCTCCCAGCCTGGCAGCCGCTGCTCCGGGCCTGGCCGCACCCGACCCGCCTGCTCCCCCGGGCCTGGCCGCTCCCAGCCTGGCAGCCGCTGCTCCGGGCCTGGCCGCACCCGACCCGCCTGCTCCCCCGGGCCTGGCCGCTCCCAGCCTGGCAGCCGCTGCTCCGGGCCTGGCCGCACCCGACCCGCCTGCTCCCCCGGGCCTGGCCGCTCCCAGCCTGGCAGCCGCTGCTCCGGGCCTGGCCGCACCCGACCCGCCTGCTCCCCCGGGCCTGGCCGCTCCCAGCCTGGCAGCCGCTGCTCCGGGCCTGGCCGCACCAGCCCCGCCTGCTCCCCCGGGCCTGGCCGCTCCCAGCCTGGCAGCCGCTGCTCCGGGCCTGGCCGCACCAGCCCCGCCTGCTCCCCCGGGCCTGGCCGCTCCCAGCCTGGCAGCCGCTGCTCCGGGCCTGGCCGCTCCAGCCCCGCCTGCTCCCCCGGGCCTGGCCGCTCCCAGCCTGGCAGCCGCTGCTCCGGGCCTGGCCGCACCAGCCCCGCCTGCTCCCCCGGGCCTGGCCGCTCCCAGCCTGGCAGCCGCTGCTCCGGGCCTGGCCGCACCAGCCCCGCCTGCTCCCCCGGGCCTGGCCGCTCCCAGCCTGGCAGCCGCTGCTCCGGGCCTGGCCGCACCAGCCCCGCCTGCTCCCCCGGGCCTGGCCGCTCCCAGCCTGGCAGCCGCTGCTCCGGGCCTGGCCGCACCAGCCCCGCCTGCTCCCCCGGGCCTGGCCGCTCCCAGCCTGGCAGCCGCTGCTCCGGGCCTGGCCGCTCCAGCCCCGCCTGCTCCCCCGGGCCTGGCCGCTCCCAGCCTGGCAGCCGCTGCTCCGGGCCTGGCCGCACCAGCCCCGCCTGCTCCCCCGGGCCTGGCCGCTCCCAGCCTGGCAGCCGCTGCTCCGGGCCTGGCCGCACCAGCCCCGCCTGCTCCCCCGGGCCTGGCCGCTCCCAGCCTGGCAGCCGCTGCTCCGGGCCTGGCCGCACCAGCCCCGCCTGCTCCCCCGGGCCTGGCCGCTCCCAGCCTGGCAGCCGCTGCTCCGGGCCTGGCCGGCCGCACCCGACCCGCCTGCTCCCCCGGGCCTGGCCGCTCCCAGCCTGGCAGCCGCTGCTCCGGGCCTGGCCGCACCCGACCCGACTGCTCCCCCGGGCCTGGCCGCTCCCAGCCTGGCAGCCGCTGCTCCGGGCCTGGCCGCACCTGACCCGGCTGCTCTGGGCCCGGCTGCCCCGGGCCCGGCCGCTCCGAGCCTGGCCACTCCCGACCTGGATGCTCTGGGCTTGGCTACTGCTGTTCTGGGTCTGGCTGCTCCCACCCAGGCTGCTCTGGGCCTGGCTTCTTCGGGCCCGGCCACTCCGGGTCTGGGTGTTCCTGGACTGGCCACCTGGGCTTGGCCGCCTCCGCCTCATGCCTGGCTGCCACTGCCCCAGGTCTGGCTACTCCAGTGCTGGCTGTTGATGCTCTGGTTCTGGCTGCTGTTGTTCTGGGTCTGGCCGTTGCTGCTCCGGGTCTAGCTGCCACTGCCTTGTGCCTGGCCACTCTAGGCCTGGCCGTCGCTGTTCCAACATTCTGTCCTTTTTTTTTCTTTTTAAAATGCATTTATGTTGCAATGTTGGCTGGTGAGTTGAGTTCTGACTTAGTCTTTGATTTTTCAAGATCTTTGTATTCTTTCTTAAGTAATTTTACTATTTTTTGCTCTCACTTGATTTCTTCACATTGAGAACTTCTTTGGTTTCTTCCTCCTTGTCCTGGGAGCTCAGCAGGTTGGCCTGTGGCACCCCTTTGTTCTCCGCGGGCTCCTGTGCTGCTTCAGCCTGTTGCCGGGACGGCGCCGCCCAGGAAGCAGCCCCCGGCCTTGGCTCCATTGCCCGAGCTCAGTGGTCAAAGGCTTAGGGGCACCCACGCCCCCAGGGGCCCCGTGGCCCGCCTCCTTGCTGGTGCCCGGTTGGCTGGAGTCCGGCAGGGGCTTCCGCTCCCCTCCGCGTTCCCCCAGCCTAGAGCTTTTTTTTTTTCTCCTTCCCGCTAGGGAAGTCCAGCATCAGAGTCAACAGACTGTCCTCTGCGCGCAGTTTGCGCGAGTCCCACAGACTGTCCTCTGCGCACAGTTTGCGCGAGTCCCACAGACTGTCCTCTGCGCGCAGTTTGCGCGAGTCCCACAGACTGTCCTCTGCGCGCAGTTTGCGCGAGTCCCACAGACTGTCCTCTGCGCACAGTTTGCGCGAGTCCCACAGACTGTCCTCTGCGCGCAGTTTGCGAGAGTCCCGGGGGCCCGGCCTTTCGCCGCTCTTCCCGGACTCCACCTCACAGCCCCGTCTCCCTCTGCCTGAGCCTGGGTCCCCAGGGAATGGCCCAGAACTGGGGTTCGGAGCAGTCCGGACTGAGGCTCAGCGCCGCCGGAGGCCTTGTTTCTTCCGGCTAGGGCAACCCAGCTTCAGAGTCAACATTCAGTCCTCTGCGCGCATTGCGCGCGACTCCCGGGGCCCTGCCTTTCGCCGTTTTTCCGCCTCACAGCTCCGTCTCCTCCCGCCGGAGCCTGGGTCCCCAGGGTCTGGCCCATAACTGGGGCTCGGCGCTGCCGGTTCAGGGGGCTCAGCGCTGCCGGTTCGGGGGTTCAGCCCAGGCTGGGGGTTTTATTTCCTTCCTGCTAGGGAAGGAAAGGCGGCTCCCCGCCCTCTCCTCCTCTCCGGCTGCGACCTCTCCGTGCACGCGTGCGGGCGGGCAGGCGCGCGCAGCATGTCTCCGTACCTTAGGCTTTTTTTCAGCTCCTCTGATTTTCTTTCTGGTTTTCTCTTTCCTTCTTGTTGTAGAAATTTCAGTCAGTCGACTACCTGTAGCTCTGGGCAATGTCCACTCTACATTTTAGTTGTATTCCATTGAAATTGTTGTGTGCTGCCGCGGCTAGATGTCTACCCGAGCAGCCATCTTGGATCTCATTTACTTCTAAACAGATTGCAGGGCACAGTATACTTTCTATGAAATGGTGAGTGTATGAGACTATAATAATGAGCAGAAAGGAGAACCTAGGTGATAAGTAGACAGGCAGTTGATAAGAAAAATTTTAAATGTCTGAATAACAAGTAAGTTTTTTCATGGTGAAAATTTTTGTCAAGTTCTGGTGAAGAGCCTATGCATTCTTTGACATGAGCACTTTTGCGTTGCTAGAATAGAAAATTCTGATTGTGACCGAACACTGCAGCAAGTTTGTGAAAACACAGTGACACCACGTATTCTTGTTCATGGCTGGAAATCAGCCACCTAACTCCAGATGTCTGTCTATAAAATGACTGCTTACTTGCTGAGACACCGTGAGCAGCAGGATATGTGCATATCCCATTGGGAGTACCAGGGAGGAAACTATGAGCATGTTTGAATGAGGCTTTTGGCTCTCTTTCAGGGCATTCACTCTGTCTCTCCAGGTTAGTAATTTTACAGAGAGATGTCTGGAGTTCAGGAGTTGGTCTCTTTCCATGGGACAGAGTATTTAGCTTTACTGTCATGCTGCACAGTTAAGACTCCTGTGGCTAGAGTTTGTGTCACAACCTTAAGTGTGTTTGTTTTTTCCCCTGTTCCCTACATGCAGGTTCAAGTGTCCTCAGTAAGCCTTGTTCAGTGACTGTAGCCAATGAGGCAAGCAAGAAGAAAGTGGACGTTATAGACCTAACAATAGAAAGCTCTTCTGATGAAGAGGAAGATCCTCCTGCCAAAAGGAAGTGCATCTTCATGTCAGAAACACAAAGCAGCCCAACCAAAGGGTTTGTTAATTTATAGTTTTACACTTGGAACTAACTGTTACTGGGATAGATTTGTAAATGTCTCTTTGATAGTTTCATAATCATAGAATGCTATTTTAATTTGCCTGTTGTTGAAGTAGTATTTTCAATATCTAAATAAAGAAAATATTGTCATCTTTGGGAAGTAAGAGTTGAAATCTTCTCACATGTAAGTATTTCATATAAGTACAAATTTGGCATCATAGACCAACAGAAGGAAGCTTATGAAATATGGAATCTAACAAGTGTGGATCCACATTTGATACCATTGCTTACTCATTCATGATGTATGATGAAAAATTTAACTTGCTTGAGCTTCCTGTTTCTGTTCTGTACAGTAGGGTTAAAAAATGCCTACCTCATGAGAATTTTTTTTTTAAGATTTCAATAAGATAATGAAACAATTTAGCTTCAGAGTTTGACAAATCAGAAGGAATACAAATGAAAAACCAGGAAAACTTATTTTCCATTGTATCTTGAAATGTTGTGAGCAGCTATTTTTTAATAGGCATTGTTTTAGTAAAACTTATAGTTTTACAGAGCCCCAAAAGTAAAAAGCATTCTGTCTACAATGGTAAATGGGCCGGGGGTGGGGATGCACTAGAGGGAGTCAATGGAGGAAAAAGGAGGACATATGTAATATTTTCAACAATAAAGAATTCTTAAAAAAATAAAAGGGGAGGGGAGACTTTTGACATGTCACTGCCTCCTCATAGAATTGGCAAATACACAGGCATATGTATGTATACATTATCAATGTGTACATACATATTTTTTAAATTTTTTAGTCTTATTCATAATATCATAGTACAAAGGTAAATTGCTGGAATGTTGCAAGACAGTGAATATTAGTATTCTAGACTGTATACTGAATCATTTATCACATTTAGTTCAGACTTAAAAATCTAAAAATAGGTTAACTTGAATTGTTATCCTAAAGGCTGAAATTCATCATGTGCTCCCTCCCACTTTACAGTCATAAAAATATTAATATAATTTTGCAACCAATTTCTAATGATCCTTAATCCAGAGGAATACATTATTAACCTCTATTTTTTATTTCCTATCTTTAGAATACCTCTGAGTCTCAGTGTGCTTTTCTCTTTACTTCTAGTTGTAGAATTTCCACTCAGCCAGCCTTCTGTGGTTCTGGATGATGTCAGTTTTGTTTTTTAGTTGTAGTTTTGAAATTGTTGTGCGAGGCAGGTTTAGGTGTTTACCTATGCTGCCATCTTTGTTTCTCTCGGTATCTTATTTTTTTGTTGTTGCAATGGTAAATGGGATTATTTGTTTAGCTTCTCTTTCTGAGAATTAATTATTGATGTATAAAACAGCCACCAATTTTTGGGTGTTGATTTTGTAACCTGCTACATTGCCAAATTCATTTATTAAATCTATTAGTTTCTTGGTGGACTCTTTAGGCTTTTCTATGTACATTATCATATCTCTGCAAATAATGAGAGTTTTACTTCCTCCTTTCCAATTTGGATGCCTTTTATTTTTTCTTCTAATCACTGTGGCTAGGACTTCCAGTACTATGTTGAATAAGAGTGATGAAAGCAAACATTCCTCTCTTGTTCCTGTTCTTGGTGGAAATGCTTTTAGTTTTTGCTGATTGAGTGTGATGTTGGCTGTAGGTTTGTCATATATGGCCTTTATCATGTTGAGATATGTTCTCTCTATTGCCACTTTGCTCAGAGTTTCTATCAAAAATGGGTGTTGGATTTTGTTGAATGCTTTTTCTGCATCTGTTGATATGATTATGTGATTTTTGTCTTTCAGTTTGTTTATGTGTTGTATCATGTTTGTTGATTTGCAAATATTTTACCAGCCTTGCATTCCTGAAAAGGAGTTTGAAAGTGTTCCTCTTGAATTTTCTGTAATGATTTGACAAGTATAGGTATTAGTTCTTCTTTGACTATTTGGTAAAACTCCCCTGTGAAGCCCCCTGGACCTGAGCTTTTGTTTGCCGGGAGTTTCTTGATTACTGCTTGAATTTCATCAATTGTTATTGGCCTATTCAGGTTTTCTGATTCTTCCTGATTCAGTTTTGGGAGATTGTATTTTTCTAGGAACTTGTCTATAATCATCTACGTTGCCAGCTTGTTGGCCTATAGTTGTTCATAATATTTTCTTACAAACCTTTGTATTTCTGTGGTGTCAGTGGTTGGTTCTCCATTTTGTGTAGTGAGTAGCTACCATATAGTTGTGCTGAAACTTAGTGAATTTACAACTGAGAATGCACAGTAGCACAGCCCTTCTGTACTGTGAACTAACAGCCAGATTGTTTGTAATTTCCTTGCTATTTAAAACAGGGTTCTCATGTATCAGCCATCTTCTGTAAGGGTGCCCAGTGTGACTTCGGTTGATCCTGCTGCTATTCCGCCTTCATTAACAGACTACTCAGTACCATTCCACCACACGCCAATATCAAGCATGTCATCAGATTTGCCAGGTATGTGAAGTTATTTTTTGTTTGTTTGTTTCTTATTATGTCTTACCATTTATTTTTAATCTTAACCTTGGAGCAAATAGAATTTTAAAAATTTAAATAGAAATGCTAAGGAAATTTGAAAATTTCATATAAAGGTAATGTCTTTTTTAATATATTCATTTTCTGTCATCTTAACTACAGAACAGTCTATAGATTCCTAATAATAGCAGTTTATAGATTCCTAATAATAGTAGGATAGTAGGAAATGTTTGTAGATTTTATTTTCCTTCAGAGAAGATTTATACTCAGAGGTTTTCCTTAGTTTATTATGCAAGTTTATAGGTTAGGGAGAGAGTATTTTCTCATACTCTTCTTGGTTGTAGTTCAACTTGGGTGTTGCCAACATCTTTACCTTGTGATCTCTCCTCCTCTCCCCCCGCCCCCCGTAAAAATAAGATCTACCAGCTGTCTCCCTAGAGCACTACCTAATACCTAATGACATATTATATATATATATTAACTGAACATTTAAAAATTCAAGGTTTCTTGGATTATCTTAGTACCAAGACCTGTGCAATCAAGGCCATATCATATCTTTAAACTCTGCCTTTTTCTCCTCTCTTAATAGCCAGTGTTTTTACAGATATTTTTGATCTATCAAATGTGAGCAAGTTTAGAACCAGTACCTCTTAATATTCATGACTTCCCTTCTTTCTAAAGGGTGCTTTTAGTGGAATACAACTTCTTCCAATTAATTAATTTCCCCCACCAGATTTCTGAAGTTAATTTTACCCTTTTAGAAAGGTCTTTATTATAAGAACAATATGTATTCTATTGGACAAAATTTGTGTTGTTTGAAACAGTTGATGGTTTTGTTATCTGGCCAATTCAAATAAAATTTAATGGAAAAGAATAGACTAAAAATACTATCCATCAAAAAATTGTAAATACCTTTTCTTAAATATGTTTAGTCCATACGTATTTTGGAAATTGACATTTAAGTATATTTAGTCCATGTGTACTTTGGGAATTGGTATTTTAAAAAATTGTTTTCAAACCCAGCCATGACAAAGTATTTTTTGTATCCAAAGCTCCATGCAAAGGTATAGGTGAGGTTTCATAGTCCATAAGAAATACATACACTCAGAGTCTTAATTTCTATCTGCTATGTTTTGCTCTAACCTTGGCTAGTTTTAAGTGAAGTTGAAGAGTGTCCACATGTCATCTTAGTATATGTTATAAACAAACATTTTTTAAGGATTTGTTTCCTAAAGACTTTGAATTAAAAATTGATCTGGAAAAAAAAGATGATAAACTTTCCATTTACTAAAGTGATTTTGACCAGTTAGCAGTAGAATAGACACACTTTACAGATCACTTGCTCTCTTTTCACATTATATGATTCTGAATGAATTTTTAACTTTAGAGAATTTAGTTTTTCAAAATTTGGGCATAAATTGAGACTTTTATAAAATGTACAGAGTTGAGAAAAATGCAGTAAAACATGTTAACTGTATATTACATAAAATACACTTAAGGAACTAAGACTAATATTCAGGCCAATATAAACCAATATAGTAATCCTGGTTATTAAAATGTTGAAATGCTTTCTACAAGTTGATAAACTGAATAGAATAGGGTCTATTGACCTTACAAGAATTAACAATTTTATCATCATCTGTGAATCATGTAGCAGTCACTACATCTAAATAATTTATTTTTTACTTTGGTTTTATTGTTAATATACTCTTTTGTAATTAGTAGTTAATTTGCTTTTATGTTTGTGCATAATTTTATGTAATTAGTTATACTATACAGAGTTGATATTTACAAATTTAATAATTTATAATAAAATATTAAATAGAACACCAAGAATAGAGAGCTGACAACGTTTTAATACATTTCTTAACATTCTTTTTAAACATCATGAACATGAATCTTCTGAATCTGCAGGGGAACAAAGAAGAAATGATATTAATAATGAACTGCAGCTTGGAACATCTTCTGATACTGTGCAACAGTGAATTCAAAATAGAACATAATTTGTATTTATGGAATGGAAAACAGCTTATTTCAAGAAAAAAATGACTGCCTTATTATTACTAGTGACATATTGTCAGGTGTGAATGGTGCTCAAAAATTGTGTCATTAAAATTTGGAATTGCTAAACCTTCACATATTTAATCATGTAGCAACCATGTTTTGTTGAAGTTCATGGCTCAAATAAGGAAGATGTTATTATTCGTAAGACGCAGAGTCAGTTTCACATAAAGTCACATTGAAAATCTAAAAGCAACAATTTTAACAATGTTAATAGAACAAACATTTAGAATGTAGCATCAAAATTTTTAACCTGCTTTTTAAAAATAATTGAGCACATTTTCAACCTTGAAATACTTAGGAGGGCATAATTATATACCACTATAACCTATTGTTTCAATTGAAACTTATCCTGTCTAATAAAAGAGTGATATGCAAATTAACCATCACTCCACTATACCCACCAATCACACCCACCAGCCAATCAGCAAGTATGCAAATTAATCCCAACCAAGATGGCTATGGCCACAGAGTGCAGGAGGGAGGCTTGTGTTTCCCTGGCAATAGAGGAAGCCAGGCTTTCCACACACCCTGGGAGTCCCAGGCCTCCATTCAAGGGTACAAAGTTTCAATTATAGAAGGTAAATAAATTCCAACAGAAATGGCGGCAACCACTGAGCTGGAAGAGCAGGAGGCTATGGTTTACCCGGGCTAAGGAGGAAGCCAATCTTCTGCCGCCCTGGCTGGTTTAGGGCCTTCACTCCAGGCTACAAAGTTTCAATTATAGAAGATACATAAATTCCAACAGAAATGGCTGCCACCACTGAGCAAGCAGAAGGCTTGACTCTGCTCCAGGCTACAAAGTTTCAATTGTAGAAGATAAATTTCAGATACCAGGGCCTCCGCTTGGGTCGCTGGGGGGTTTGGCCTGCAAACCACCACAGGCCCTTCATCCAGGCCGTCCATGTCCTAAGGGGACCCCCACCCTGATCCGGGACACCCTTCAGGGCAAACCAGCTGGCCCCCACCCATGCACCAGGCCTCTATCCTATCTAATAAAAGAATAATATGCAGATTGACAGTCACTCCAATACACAAGATGGCTGTCCCCTTGTGGTCAAAGATCCTGCCCCCATGTGGACACAAGATGGCCAGCAGGGAAGGACAGTTGGGAGGGACCAGGCCTGCAAGGGAGGGCAATTGGGGGCGATCAACCCTGCAGGGGAGGGCAATTAGGGGTGACCAGCTGGCAGAGGAGAGTAGTTGTGGGCAAACAGGCTGATAGGGAGTATTTAGGCATCAATCAGGCTGGCAGCAGAGTGCTTAGGGGTTGATCAGGCTGGCAGGTAGAAGTAGTTAGGGGCAATCAGGAAGGCAGGCAGGCGAGCAGTTGAGAGCCAGCAGTCCTGGATTGTGAGAGGGCAGTTGGACATTCCTTGAGGGGTCCCAGATTGGAGAGGGTATAGGCTGGGCTGAGGGACACCTCCCACCCCTTGCATGAGTTTTGTGTACCGACCTCTAGTGGTGAAATAAGAAAACAGCAATTTTGCTAAATTTATAAAATAAGGAAGTAACATTAATCATTATTTATGAAACTTCAACTATTTCATATGAGCTTGAATAGTCTACTTAAAATGTAAAATGCAAGACTTTGATAATGAAGTTTATTAGAAGGAATAATATCTGAAATACTCTATCAAATTTTAGAGATGGTGTTTGAGAAAAAGTTTCACTGAGAAATATATTAGAACATTATTGGATTTTTGTATAGACAGCGTCTGTATAATGCTGGGGAGACAGTCTATAATTTCAACCAAGAGTTTAGAAAAATGCGTAGGTATTTTACTATCTATAATAATAAAAACGTATCATGCTAATTAGACTGGATGTCCTTCGGATGTCTTTACTTGTGGACAAAGCCGCAGCAGGGGAGGTTGGGGGGCAAGGGATCCTGAGGCAGAGGCAGCAGAGGACTGGGGCCAAGGCTCTTGGATGAATTTCGTGCATGGGTCTCTAGTGCATTATATAAGTCACCATCTTCATTGATATGTGGATGAGGTGTCAAAAGATACAGAACAAGTGAATCTCTTAAATCACATCAAACAGTAAAGAATTACAATACATCTAAGAGCTAAAATAATGAAAATAGCAAGTCTCTGCACCTCAGTGGACAGTCTTCAATTCTGGAGCTATATATATAAAAAAAAAAAAAGTCTGACAATTACAAGTCTGTGTGTTTATTTATATTGAAGTTGTGAAATGGGACTAGTTAAACATTTAGAAAATGAACATTTTTGGGTGATTGGCTTCAAAACAAATATTCCAACAGAGATAGCAGTACTTTCTTAGTTTTTAAAAAAGTGTTTGTTATTCAAGTGGACTGAGTGATTAAAAACATATTAAAAGTAATTGAACATATAAAATCCTATATAAAAAAAGACTCTGCTAAGTATCCAGTTGGCCATTCAACCAATCAAAGTGTAATATACTAATGATATGCTAAAGCTGCTCAACTTATTGCTATGATGTGCACCAACCACCGGGGGCAGTCAACCTGTTAACCAGTCATGATGATGTGCACTGACCACCACGGGGCAGATACTCCAACTGGTAGGTTAGCTTGCTGCTTGGGTCAGGACTTAGCGAGACTGACACTCCCTGGAGCTCTCCTGTAGTCCTTCCCCAGCTGGCCAACCGCCAGCACCCCTCCCTGGCCCCATTCGTGCACCAGTGCAGTTCCTTGGTCTGATCTGTACTCTCTTGCAATCTGGGCCGAGGGACCTCTTCCCCCTAAGTGCATGAATTTCATGCACTGGGCCTCTATTAAACTACAAAAGCCAAAGTTATAAAAAGAAAATTGTTACACCTTTGAAGCAAAATAAAATGAATAAAAATAAACCAATTAAATGACACACCAATAAAGTATTTTTGTGACTCAGTCAATAATGGAGATGTTGAATATATAAAATTCCTGGAAGGTATAAGAGTTAGACCTATTTTGAATTGATGTTCAACAGAAGCAGAGAAAGGACTTACTGAACAAGATAATGTAAAAAGAAATTGCTTATGGAGAAACGTCGCCTACTGAAGTTGGAAACATTTGTTGTGATTCTCTTTGTCCATTGTTGGCTCAAACCATGGTGTGTCATATAGGTAGTGACAGACATACAAAATGAAAGTACCAACAATTTTTTTTACATGCTTTATAGATGGAATGGTTTCTTTCAAATGATTGGTGCTATAGTTTCTATTACTTGATAAACATTGTAAGCATAGCTTATTTAGAGATTATAAGGGACTAAATATATTTAAAATTTTTGAGTTATAAATTACTCATTCTTAATTACTGAATATTAATTATTAAATATTTTAAAGATAATTTCCACTAATATTCTCTATTTTGAGTAACAGTCTAGTATCAGACTTTATTCTGAAAGGTTGTTATTTAAGGTAACATTGAATGCCAGCAAATAAAAATGTATAAAATCGAATAGAAATTGACCTGTCTTAGTGACCTATACTTAGTATCTTTTTTTTTTTTTTAATGTTTTGAAATTTAGTCAAACAGGGACTCTAGGAAAACTGACTTAGATGTTTATTGATATACTTTTCAGCCCTGAAATTTTAAATTATTTATTTTTATAACTCTAATGCTTTGAAATGGTGTTCTTGGCACTCTTTTCCACATTCCTGTTCCTACAGCTTAGTTGGAGAATCTCACATCTTTGGTTTAGAAATTTGCATTTGCTTATAATCTAGAACGCCTTGATAAGATTTAGCTTGTTAGCAGAAATTACTGAGGCTTGCTTTGTGCAGAGCATGAAACTGGATTGATCCCTGGATGAGGTACTGCTTTTGATGTGGGAATAGGGGGACAGAGAGCACTTCATGAAATAGACATCTGTTTAAGAAGTGGTATTTTAGATGAAGTTCAATATGATGTATTTCTAAAAAATAAATGTGAAGTATCTTAAGAGCTTAAGTATGTTTTTTTAATAGTTCATATCAGATCATCATCTCATCTGTTTTGTTGCTTCTCATTCTGTTAAGTGATGAAGTGAAGAAATATTTGCTTTGACTAGTCCTTCTTCCTTTAAGTCTCTGGGAAGTGATTTTTCCAGATGTTTTATCAGGGAATATGTTCATTTTGGAGTTTTATACACATTAAATAGCACTGCTTATGGTGTAGAACTTTCCTATCATAGAATGGTTAACAGTTAACCCCAAATGTTTTCTTTCTTGTGATAAATATAAAATGATTTTGGGAAATAATTCTTGTCTCCAAAATATGAGGCAACTATTAACAAAGCATTTTTGTTTTAGGTTTGGATTTTCTTTCCCTTATTCCAGTTGATCCCCAGGTATGTATCCTGAATTTAAGCAACTAATTTGTATTTGATCGTTGCTTATGTCAGACTAACTAAAAATGACCAGTTGCATAAAATCAGGACAGTCAACTCACAGTTATTTAAATTGCTGCAAAGAAAGTACTATATAAATACTTCACAGTTTTATTTGGAGAAATAAAGTTGCTGTTTTTCAATTTATGATGTTTTTTGGTCTTAATATCTGAATTTGAAATTATATTTTAATTAGTTTAATAATCAGTTGACATTTATCAAGCACTTAAAGTGATTAAAATGAGGGGAAGCAGTACTAGATTACTAGAAGTTAAAACTGAAAGAAATTGTAAAACACTTGTTTTATACAGAGAAAACAGCTAAAACTATTAAACTGTTTGAATTATTATCTTGAGTCTTCCTTATTTTTAAAGGCAATCAGATTCAGACTTTGGGGATGCCCCAGCCTAAGTTGCTATAAATTATAAATAATAAATTATTCCTGTTTTCTCTGTCAGAGGTAAGAAATTCTAGAATCCCAGAGTATCAACATGAAGACATTGCAGTGAGCATGGACCCCGCTGGCAGGCGTGTAGCAGAGGCAGAGCAGAGGAGGGAAAGGCATGGGAAAGCCAGGGGCAAAGTGAAACAAAGAGCCTTTGAAAGGTGTGTTGAGATTTGGAAGGGTGTAGAGGAAGAACATGGACCACCAAATTCATAGGTGCTCAGAATCAGCTAACTGCAGGTCTTGTATTGGCCTCCTGTTTGAATACTCTGGTTCTGGTCACACAAACAACACCGGAAATATTGGCCCAAGGTAAATATGCACAGAATGAAGAATTTCTTCTTCTTACCCTGAATTGACTTTGTGACATCAATATATTTTATCTATAGCAAAAGTATACATACATCTTTCTAGGAAATTGATTCTTTGGGCTTAAAATGTTACTGATTTTTTTTTTAAATGTGAACCATCCTTTTAAAAAAAAAATTACCCTGGAACCTAGAGGATTCAGATTTCATAGTGCTCTTTAGTCTGCTTAGTGTCAGGCTAACTTAATTGATAAGGCAAAAGAAGAGTTAGAGGTTGTGCCTTTAGTCCTTTATAGAATCCTTAAGATTTGTTCTACTTTACCTCCATATTGCCCCATTATTCTTGTGCAGATATGTGCTGATTACGCATAAAGGATAGAATTAGAGGTAAATGCCTGCAAGCCGAGTATAATAAATATTCAATGTATAGATCCTGTTGATAGCAGGACTGTAGTATCTAGCATTCATTTTCTAAAGGAAGAAGAGTACTTTTTTACTGCCACAGTCAAAAACTGCCTGAGAGACAAAATAAAATGTAAGTTCTGACCTTTTTTTCAGATTCCTTTCCCAATTTTGTTGGAAAGTAGGAAATGTATTTGCTTTTAAAGAAAGTTAATGCTTGAGAGTTTAACTTCTTTTGGAACTTTTTAAGAACTATTCCTTTTCCTCTAACCAATATCCCTTAAATTTCTTAGTGCATGGCATTCATTTTATTCATGATCCAAGACAGTTATCCATCCTAAATATTAAATTACTTTCTTGAAGGCAGCAGAATTGGTGGTGTTCTTCCCATGGACAAGCAGCTCAGACCTGGGGCTTTTCCCCTTATCATTTTACAGATCACATAATTAAACAACCTCAGTTTTAAATTCTGTTCTGTAACTTAGTATCTCCAATGATAGCTGACTATAGAAATGATAAGATTGATCAGATACCCTTTCATACAATTTGAAGATAAAATATTTCTCACATAAAATATTCTATAGCAATATAAAAATAAAGCTTTTAGTTGTGTGTGTCCCGTGCCCCCCCCTCCACCCCGACCAATACTAGAGTGTTAAACTCAAGTTTGAATTTGTATAAGAATCAGCATCCAAACTGGTAAGGAAACAAAATGTGAACTCTTGGAGAAGTGTGTCAGGGAATTATCACAAGGAAAATTAGACTAGATCTCTTTTTAAGATTTATTCCAAAATTTTGTGATTACCTGAGATAGTTCTCTGTACTGGGCATCCTGTGGTAGTTAGCTACCATGTTGTCTCTGTTAGAATGAATGCTGTCCTTACAATTACACAGGTATTGTTACATGCATGTACAGAGAGAGTCAAATACCACTCTTGAGTTGATCAGTTTTTTTTACTATATACATACATATATATATATATATATATATATATATATATATATATATATTATTGATTTCAGAGAGGGGGAGATAGAAACATCAATAATAAGAGAGATTAATTGGTTGCCTCCTGCAGGCCCCCTAGAGGGATTGTGCAATAATCAGAATCTAACCTTGACCTCCTGGTTCATCCGTTGACACTCAACATGGAGCCATGTTAGCTGGGCTAATTGATTTATTTTAACATTATTCCTAAACTGTCTGATTGATAATAAATTTTGAAAGGATTATCAAATTTTGAAATAGCATTTTTGCTCACTACCATTAAAAAGAAATGTTTACTATCCTTTTGCAGTGTGATTTAAATCTGGTATAAACACATGTAGCGAGAGATCTTTTTGAGGTTAAGTTATGAGTCATGATTGTGGGGCCATATTCACTATTAAATATTGTTGACATTTTTGTAATTGCACCTATATATTTGGTCAGCAAACAAATTCTACAAGATTTGAGAATCAAGAATATATACTATATTCTCTAAGTAATGTAAAATAGCTATATTCATGCCATCTTTCATCCAAAGATCTGGTTTTGAGAATTTTTAAAATCTCATTGGGATTAAAATACATGGCTCTCACCTGTACATATCTAACAATTTCTAGTCTCTATTTGAAATCAATGTAGCCTCTTCCTCATCAGCATCATTATTTGTTTCAAGCAGTACTGTCCTCCTATGTTTTTGGATAGTCTCACCTCACCCTTAACAGCAAGCAGTACGTCTGTCACCACCACCAGCCCCCATGAAAGCAACACTCATGTTAGCTCATCCAGCAGCAGGAGTGAGACAGGGGTCATAACCAGCAGTGGAAGGAACATTCCTGACATCATCTCATTGGACTAAAGGAGGACTGGCTCGATTCTAGGAATCATTCATCAAAACTGCTCTTTCTTGGATCTCTGGTCCTTGGAAGCTATTTTTTTAATAACAGTTACTTTGATATTTATTGAAACGTCAAATGGATTCTTTTGCTTTCTGAGAGACAAACACAGATGACTGTGGCAAGAACCAAATGACACACAAGATTTTTCTTATTCATGCTGTACTTTGAGCATCAGATGCGTTCAGCCATAGCTGTGTCTTCTTGGGAGACGGATTTCAGTTTCATGTTACTGGATGGATTCTACAAAAACAGATAAACATTTCTTGTTGTAACAAACAGCAATAAAATTATGTAAATGTGCAAGTAAACTTTTTCTAATTAAAAAGGATGTAATCAATGATTTTAAAAGAACAGCAACTTTCGTTTAACCTGATGTGAAGGAAAAATATATGGAAAGAAGTTGTGTTTGCCAAATGAGTTGTTGCCACGCAGATTTGTTCTATTTCGTTGAACTGATGAAGTCTTGATAGTGGCCAAAGCATGGGTTCCACTTTCTTCCTGATTCCATCAAAGAAAAATGGCCTTCGTGTCGTGCATTTTTCCCTGATTGTCATTTACATTCAATGTTATTTGCTACTGAATACAGAGAGAAGTTCTAGGATCTGGCTGTTCTTTATTGACGAGTATGTCGAAGAACACTACATAGATTCTACCCTGATGTAATGTGTGTTATTTTTGGTAATTTTATAATCTCATTCTAGAGATTTCTGTAAATTTGGGGCTTGTCTTCTCAAAAAAAAAAAAAAAAAAGTGTTTTGCAGCCATTGAAGGAAATGTTTTAGGAGTATGGTGGCTGAAATGTTAGAATTTTGTTCTTACTGTCCAGAATCATTGAGAGTTTAGAGGCAATAGAAGAACAGACTTAGGAGAGTTTGGGAATAACAAAGATTAATTTATTCCTAAGAATTGCTTTTGTTCACCTTATAGAATAATATTCAAATCTTGTTGAAACTTTTCAGATTTTAGTGGTACCAAGAAAATATGTTTTAGATCTCTAATCATTTTAAAAGGAAAACCAAACATCAAGAAGTAAGGGTGGTATCAGATTTCCTTTTGATTTTTAAGAGAAATCTTTCCTGAGACCACGAAAGACCTGAACCCCACTTTAAAAACCACTCTACTTTCTTTTGCTTCATTTGGCTTCCTAAATAATTTTAGAATTCTCAAGGAATTAATACTTTCCCGATGCTTAGCTTTCTCTGCCTAAGCTATCTCTATTTTACAGATAAACTCTTTTTAAAATGGGTAATCTGATACTCAAGCTGAGTGCCCAGGTGGAAAGCGAGTTCAGTGAGAACAAGGACGCGTGACTTGAGTTGGTGCAACTCCATGGAGCTGACTTGACATGCTTGGTTTTTACACCTTCTCAAGTTTTCATGGCCTCGGCGCACTTTTTGTGCTGACTTAAGATCATGTGGTTTTCTGTATCATCCCTTCTTTGGCCATATCATCCCCTTAATGTATTACCCTTTTTGGACAGCTGCTTATTATTAAAGACGTGGAAAATAAACTTCCTGCAATAGTTGTGCCATAGTTGCTAGTTCTATCTTGTCATTAGATTTCCAATCTATGTTACAATCCTTTCGTCCAGATACAGAATATCTTCATAGTAAATATTTATGTTGCTGCTTTAAATACAGATGCAATTTCTTTTAACTGTAATCAGATAGAAAAAGTAACCTTACTTATGTAGTATAATTTGTCAATAAAGAAATGATGTATATTTGTTATCATTTTGTTACCCTTTAGATTCTCAGCGACTCCCCTTCCCAGTTTAACCAACAGAGAGTTTTATAAGGTCAATTAAAATATGAATAGAAGTTAGTTTATTTACTTGTTTTTTATAATGGATACCTCTGCTTTTATAGTTGTGATTTCTTTGTCAATATTTTATGTGAACAGTTTTAGTGTACCTTTCTGGTGCTTTCTGTTGGTTACATACAAATTTTTAATTTATCTCATGCAGGCATATTTAAAAATCACTATTATGTTTATAATCTTGAAATCCAGGGCTTTTGTGAATACATTTTTGAAGGTGAGCACTTCTCTTTATGCCTTTTGCTTTATGACAACTGCATGTTTATTAAGCCATTATCCTTTTTCAGTGTGGTCACTAAATATTTTTACCAAGACCCTGGCTTTTTGTTGTTAATCCTCACTGGTGAATATTTCATCCATTGACTTTAAAGATAATGGAAGGGAGTGGGGAAGGGAAGAAAGGAGAGAGAGAAACATCGATGTGTGAGAGCCACATCAATCAGTTGCCTCCCACATGCATTCCCAACTGGGGTGGGATAAAATCTGGGACCCTTGTGTTCTCGGGTGAACACACTATTGAGCTACGCCTACCAGAGCAACCCTGACTTTTTAGCAGTTGATTTTGCTAGCCCAGATATTTTGTTTAACCAAGTATAATGCAGTTCTGGAGGAAATCGTCTTACCTGTTGCTTAGATGTCAGCCAGCTAGTGATTATGTGGAGTACCTTAAGGGAAGGAACTGCTATTACTAGTGTCTTGCAAACACCTGCCAACCTATATTTTTATCTTTATTCCCTTAGAAATGTTAAGGGCTTTTCTTGCTTTTGTACCTCCTGGCAGTGTAATGGGTGCTGATACAGCTTCACACCTGCAGTTTGCTTATATTCACTGACTTTCTGACTCTTAGATGAGCCATTTTAGGATTTCACTTCCATTTTTGCTCAGAAGGTATATTGTCTTTTTTCGTGTATAAGGTGCTATTTTTCCCCCCTAAAACCATTAGACTGAAAATCGAGGGGCGTCTTATACACAGCTGTCAGCCAACGAGAGAGCAGTGTGGGTGGGCAGCTGCCCATGCCTTGTCAAACAGGCTTCTTCTAGTCAGGAGCCTTATTGTTATGATGTCAGCTGATGCCATAATTGGAGGTGGAGGTGGTGGTTAGTGCACAGATGCAACAGGGACCTGAGTATTCTGAGCGCACAAAAATGCCAAAAAATAAAAATATAAATACCCGTAAGTGATTGTCTTACTCTGCAAAATTCAAACTGAATGTAATCAGTTATGCAAAAGAGCATGGAAATAGAGCTGCAGAGACAATTTGGACCTCTTCCCACTGAGTGTATGATCAGACAGTGGAGAAAACAAGAACAACTTAAGATGTCAAAAAAGAAAACCTTAAGGAAAACCAGCCCTAACCGGTTTGGCTCAGTGGATGGTCCCAGGTTCGATTCCGGTCATGGGCATGTACTTTGTACTTTGGTTGCATACACATCCCCAGTAGGGGGTGTGCTGGAGGCAGCTGATCGATGTTTCTTCTCTCTCATTGATGTTTATAATTATCCCTCTCCCTTCCTCTCTGTAAAAAATCAACAAAATATTTTTTTTTAGAAAAAGGGAAACTAGCAAAATGTTTTTTTAAAAAAAAATTGATTTCTTAATTTTGGGTTAGAAAACTGGGGAACATCTTATACATGAGGGTGTCTTATACATGGAAAAATATGGTCAATATTTGTCATAGGACAATTATGAAGGCCTAGTGAAACAGTAGAGGTAAATTTAGGCTATGTGCCATTCATCGATTGTGTTGCAGGAAAGCCAGAATGAAAATACCATGATTAGAAATCGTGAGTATAAATTAGTTCCGTAACTCTTGGTATAAAACAAGTTTCCTTAGCGTAGCATTTCAAGGAATTTGAAGAACGGTAAGGTGTTGCATTTTGGGTGAAGTGTTCTACAGAGACCTCTGACCTTGAGATTCAGACCTTTCACATATTTTGCCTTCAGATCAATCTTGGACACTTGGTTTTGTGACTGACTGTCTGTGTTCTTTCTGCCAATAAAGTCTGTATTAGTTACATTTTTTTTTTTTAAAGAAGTTGTTTTTTACAAAGCATTAGTTTAATTCTCAGGTATGCTGTTAATTTCTAGCCCCCAATTAATAAAAGAGCATTTAACTTTTTCTGGTGTTTTTTTTTTTGGGGGGGGGGCGGAGGGCGTGTTTTTTTCTTTTTTAGTAAACACTTTTATTTTACTAATTTTTTCATGTTAAAAAATTTAGAGCATGTGCCATTTAAACTTGGATTTGACATTGTATTTAGTGTCTCTGGGTTCATGTGGTAGGAGCTCATTGATGATTCAATCTGATTTATTAACCATCTTTGCTACAGTTTTACTTAAACATGGTGAAACTAGTGGGAAAGGCTAAGATTTTTCTGTGCTTTTTTTTAGAGAGTCTGATGCTACTGTCAAATAAATTATTGGTTTGTAAGTTTTTTTTGTTGTTGCTAGGTACCACAGCAATCCCTAGTAGAAACAAATAAAAATGCCCATTCTTCTTTAATTCTTGCCTGATTCATCAATGTTTTTGTTTTTGTTTCTGTTTATATCAGTTATACATTCTCATTATGGTAAAGTTAGACAACAGAAAAGTATGAAGAAGACCTATGTCAACCTTTAATAATTGTGTGATATTCCTTTTATAGATGTGCCATGATTCCTATCACTTTTCCTCATTGGACATTTTATTTTATTTTTTTTTTTTTATTTTTTTATTTTATTTATTTATTTTTTTAATATATTTTATTGATTTTGTACAGAGAGGAAGGGAGAGAGATAGAGAGTTAGAAACATCGATGAGAGAGAGTCATCGATCAGTTGCCTCTTGCACACCCCCTACCGGGGATATGCCCGCAACCAAGGTACATGCCCTTAACCGGAATCGAACCCGGGTCCCTTCAGTCCCCAAGCCGATGCTCTATCCATTGAGCTAAACCGGTTTTGGCCTCATTGGACATTTTAGATTGCATCTCATAATGTTACAGTTGAATGTCCTTATGGATAAATTTTTCCTTAGGAAAAATTCACAAAGGTGAATTTTTTGGTCAAGGGTATAAACACTTCTGTAGTTCTTGCTTCATGTGACCTTACCAAGTGGATATACTAATTTCCACCCCAACCATGTGGTGTGAGAAGTGCTATCTG